ACCGCACTGAAGTCTAGCTGGTCCGCACCTGCGGGCTGACGACCGGATCAACCTTGCAGAGATGGGGGGCCTGGAGGCCTTCGGGGCTCAGGGTTCTTCAAGCTCAATGCCCCACACCCTAAGCCCTAAACCCTAAGCCCTTATGGTTCCGGCTGTCGGGCCGGGTCTGCACGTCAGGTCGCCTGCACTCTTGTCCCTCTTTCCATGGCCAATGTCGGCAGGGTTTAGGGTTTGGGGAGATGTATGTCGGCTCGGTTGGAGTTCCCCACATCTGGCTGAATCTGGCTGCCAGCAAGCCGTTGTCGACTGTGATTCCCAACGGTTCTCAACACAAGAAGATTCTAGGGTTTAGGATTTGGGGATCATGCCAGGGGGAACTGCGGGATTAAAACCTAGGAAGAGCAATGACAATGAAAAAACAACAGCCCAAACCGAAGCAGGAAGCAAAGAGCGAGCAGCAAGACGTGCAGAAAGGAGCAAGACAACAGCAAGCAACAGAAAGCAAGAAATACACAGCTTGACTCGCGTAGCCATACTACAGAAGCATAGAGCAAAAGCCGGTGCGACTCAAGGGGATCAGAGAAAGGGCAAAACTTGAGCCGCACCCTACACCGAAACTGCGACGCGGGTCAAGGACTTCGGGTTTGCATGGGGTTCAGGTTCCCTAAACCCTAAACCCCTAAACCCTAAACCCCTAAACCCTGAACCCTAAACCCTTCTAGCAACCAGACTGGAGAGGGGTGCGGGAGGAACTCCACGACTCCTTTACAAACGCAATGGTCAGTGTAACAATAATAGTAATAGTAATAGTAATAGTAATAGTAATAGTAATAATAATAATCATCATCATCATAATCATAATAACAATAGTAATATTCTACATATATATATATATATGTAGCCAGTCTTTAACTGCCTCTGAGGACTTGGCACTGAGTCTTTACCTACAAACAACACAACTATTGAGTCCATACATGGCGAGGCCTGGAACTCTCTTTTTCTGCGACGTGACTCAGGAAAGGTCTTGTATGAAAAGCACAAAAGCTACTACACACTTCCATCGTGTAGTTCGTCTCGACGTCCCATACCCCCAAGCGGGATGTGGGAGAGTTCTTCTCAAAAGTCCCGCACCCATTTTTAAAGCAAACGGGATGCAGGACAGGTCTCTCGGACGTCCCATACTCCCAATGGGGCGTTATACACTTAACCCAGTGAAGGACCAGACTTCTTTCAAAGAGGTCTCTGGTCACTGGTGTAGGCACCTCGATGATCTGGGACGCGCAGACGCTCCCCTCAAACCGCTAGACTGGGCCTACCTTAAGCTACCAAAACCTACTTTTTTGTAGGGTCCCTATAAATTCTGTACTAGGCCAGGGTTTACAATAGTAACCTACAAAAGAGTAGGTTCTGGTAGCTTAAGGTAGGACCTAGGACTCCCAGATGGCAACGTAACAACGCACCAATGCACGGAACCGGGGTGCAGGCCGAAAGCAGGCGGCAAGGTCCCGTGTTACCGATAACATGCTCTGATAGGACCGTACTTGTCCAACATGCTCAGGAACTAACCGCAAGCCTTTAGGATTAAGTTTAAAGGGATGTCCACAATTTTTTTTGGATTACCTACTCTATTGCTCAGGCAAAGCATAGGGTCGCGGGAAGAACTACCGGAGACCAGGCGCCTTGGACTAAATCAGTAAGGTCTAGTTTGGCCTGCCCCGGCATCACGTAGAGACCAACGCTGGTAGACTGACCCACATTACAACACATGAGATCGTGAACTCCAAGCACCTCAAACCCGTCTCGCCCTAATTAGATGCATTGACGGTTTGCATCGGTTCGGGGGATCGTCGCGCCTCCCAATTACTGGTGGCTGCCTGTCTGCTGTCTGCTACCACCTGTTTGCAAATGTTACAGCTGGTGTGACTAATACCCCGGCCTTGTGCGCAGGAGGGTGTGAACAGATCCGTAGCCTGTCACAGCAATGACGTTGAACATAGCAGCAAAAGAGTTGCTGCCACAAAACTGGGGTTGATCCCAGTACGGAACCATGCCCGCTACTGATGAGTGCCTGGCGCCGACTGATCAGCCTGTGTAAAGCTGGGCCTCCGATCCACTTTACTGTACAGCGTGCAGCTTCAAATAGTTGAGGAGACTTGCCGCCATGGTACAGCACTGGACCGTCAACTTATAGATGCATCGGGCCAATCCGGGCTTAAGAATAGCACTTTCTTACACTTCGTAAACATGATGTGCTGCCTAGTGTGCTCTTGATTCAACTTCAGCCTGAACAACTTCAGGCTCAAAGGTGAGCAACCTGGCGGCGATGCGGCACCGTTGCATGCAATGCTCGCCAAGGCTTTTCGGAGAAAACGCACTAATCAATGGAGTGCTGAGTGGACGCGCCGGTCTTGAACCAGCGGCGTGTGAAGTTCCTGGGCAAGTCATGAACATAGATTTCTTCTACGGGGGTGCTAAAGATTGAAATGTCTACGGAACAGTTGCATGGTGCTGATTTGTTAATCAATTTTTCGAAACTGGTTAATCAGGCTCAGAGCACGAAGAAACAGACCAACAGGAAAGATCTTTACCCTGCCTCCTAGCCCCAGCCTGAACATGAGTCCCAAGTGCGACCCAGCCACCACCCATGCGGCTGGGGCGATGTAGGCATCTTCTGATCTTCATCCGGATCGGGCCGCCTCCGGTAAACCCTAAGGCCTAAGTATTCACTGTTACTTAACCTTGCGCCCGCAACCCTGAAGCCTAAACTTCAAATCCTCCATCCAAAAAGCTACATCTTAAACCCTAAACCCTAATCTTAAACTCGCCTCCGGGCAGCAACCTCCTTCTGGAGTTTACGCCTGCCTGAAAGCGTAGAGAGCTCCTTGCAGCGACTTCTAAAATTGGTTTCAAAAGTTCTCAAGACTGCTGAGATCCCTGGACCACTACTGACAAAAGCTATCCTTCTAAGTATATATATATACATATATATATATATATACACTGTGCAAACATACATAGACACATACATGCAAGCATACCTACGTTTACATTACATTACATTACACTACATTACAATACATTACACTACATTACACTACACTACACTACATTACACTACATTACAATACATTACACTACATTACAATACATTACAATACATTACACTACACTACGTTACATTACACTACGTTACATTACACTACGTTACATTACATTATACATTACATTCTACATTACATTACCTTACGTTACGTTACGTTACGTTGCGTTGCATTGCATTGCATTACATTACATTACATTACATTCATTACATTACATACATACGTACATACATACATACCTAAATATACATATACATACACAATTAAATCTATACATACATGCATGCATGCATACACACGTAAATAAGTACATACATACGTCTAGTACATAAACAAACATACATGCATAGACACAAACAAACGCTCATACATGCAAATACATGCTATACAATACAAAACCTATTTACATACACATACGCACACAGGCATGTGTACACGCATGCATACATGCATACGTACATGAATACACATACAAACATATATACGTACATATATGACATGTATACACAAACTACATACATACATACATACGTACGTACGTACATACAACCATGCACACACAAGATGCGTACAAACATACATTCATCCATGCATACATACATACACACACATACGTACACAGACATACATACATACATACATACAAATACATATACAAACTAACGAGCACAAATACAGACATACATACACATATACACACATACACATACACATACACATACACACACACACACGTAAACATACACATACACATACACACACTACATACATACACGCATACGTACACATACATACATACATACATACATACATACGTACATATATACATACATACATAGGTACGTACGTACGTGCGTACATACACACATGCATGCATACACACATACATGTAGCACATATATAAACAGATGACATTGACACATTCGTATGTTCATATATACAAATACATGCTAATAAGAATCCGCGTACATCCATACATATATTTACGCACGCAGGCCGATGTACACACGCGCGTACATGCATACGCACGTACATACAGGCACATACATACACATGCATACATACGACCATATGTACATACATACATACATACATACATGCATACATGCATACATACATTCATGTATTCATATGCACATTCATATACATATGCATATACATATACATATGCAATCATATACATATTAAACACCTACATACACATATGACACATATACATATACATATATACATACATACATACACATACAGACACAGACACATGCACATACCCATATACACATAACTATACATGTACATACACAAACACACATACTTACATACATACAGATATACATTTACATATATACATACACGCATACATACATGCATGCATACATGCATGCATGCGTACGTATGCACGTACGCACATACATGCAGACATGCATGCACACACACACACACATATACATACATACATACATACATACATACATACATACATACATACATACATACATACAATATACGTTTATCCACACGTACGCTCGTATGTACATGTGCACTCATATGCACATGTGTACATGCATACATATGTAACAGTACATACGTAACAGCGGTACATACATACTCGTGTGTTTGTGTGTGTGTGTGTCTGTGTGCGAACATGTGCGAGTGCATGTATCTATGTATGTATGTATGTGTATATATATATATACGCGTGTATATATAAAGGATAGAACACACAAACACACAACCTCCAACGGGGAAGGGTTACCCACTCAGCTGTGTGGCTCGTTCTGACTGCCAGCTACACAGTGCTTTTAGAGGTCAATCACGATTCAAACACGGCAAGCCCTCATGCACTGTGACGTGAAGCAGCTACCAGAGAAAAAGGCCGTGGAGGAAGGTTAACACGTCCTTCATCATGTTCTCGACAAGAACCTTGTGGCGGTTGTGCAAGATGCGGTTGGGGGGCGCAGGGGGCTCGGCCCTTTTTGGCATGCTGTTGGAGAAGTAGGACTGTCGAGTTTCCAACGAAGGCACCCCAAAGTCACCAGTATCCATGCGAGCTCGTCGGCAAATCTCACCATCATCCAGCAAGAGGGGCTCGCACCCATTGCTCAGGCGAAGCTGAACATGCAGATCCTCGTCAACCGGGAGAACCGGTGGTAGATCCTGATCTCCACCGGCCTCCGTTGGCTTTCGGGGTGGTGGCAGGGAGTTGAGGCTCCACCCCCACAACGCCAAGGCCATGGCAGCCCGGTCCACGGAGCCTCTCTCTACATACCCGTCCTACTCCACTTCCCTGCTTCGGTCCAGCAGCCTTGTGGTTTCCCGCGAAACAAGCGATGCAACTCTGCCCAGCGACTAGTCCAATGTTACCGTCAAAGCTTCCGACTACAAATGGACTGAAATAGCTGCTACTGCTCCCACTCTTACTAGTTACTAATCGACCTCAATGCTACTGCTACTGCTCCTTGCTCCTCCCCGGCCCCCTAAAGCCCAGACCTTCAATGGGGAAAGCCCTCACCACAAAGCAGGGACCGGAATATGCCACAGAAGCAGCCTCCTGCCGCAAGGAGTAGAGCATAACGCTGTTCCACCTGATTGCGGTTTACATTTAAAGGCCATGGGCGTTTGCGGCTTTCGATCTAGGCGGTTCTGGTTTTCTTTATACCTTTCAACACCGCTCGAAATGATCCACAGAATTTCTGCCTTCAGAATTGAGGTCTTCCGGTTGTCGCTCAACCAAAAGGTCTAGGGGGTTCTGCTCGGGCACCATTCCCACGGCGAATGCTTCTATGCTCAAGAACGCGTAAACCAAGGGTCAGACTTTTGTCGGAGGCAAGAAACGAAGTTTAAATACAGCCCAAAGCACTGCGGTCAGGACGACTACGACTGCGACGATGAGAGCAACCTGGGAACGACTACGACTGACTACGACTACTGCGGCTGCCGCTGTCACTGCTGCTCCTGCCTCCCCTGCTTCTCCTGCTCTTCCTGCTCCTCCTTCTCCTCCTGCACCTCCTGCTCCTCCCACCGCTGCTGCTGCTGCTGCCGCCACAACTACCACCACGACTTTGTAGCGCACCGGATACCCAGAAGCAGCTGCAGCAGCAGCATCGTTAAGGTTTCTGCAAGAATAGGTACGAAGCACAAAAGACTGAACACTAGTGACGTGAGGGCACAATCCTGCATTCAAGTGCCCTACGTCTCAGAATACCACACCCTAAACCCTAAACCC